TAAGTGATAGATCCGACCGTTACTTGATAAAAATTCATTTTATCTAACAATAAAAGATGTATGCGTTTACACGTTATAGTTTGTAACTGAATAAGTTAATGACGGGAGAATTGTTTGTCTCAAGTTGGCCATTTAGAATTATGTCTTTATTTTTTAATTTGCTAAGTTCCATAGATTCTACTTTTCATAGAATCTAAAGGTAGCTTCAGGGCTTTATTATAAATATACTTTTTTAGGAATAAAAAATATCTTGTCTTTTTGTCATTAATCAATATTGTCATCAATAAAAAAATGTCTTTTTAATGCCAACTATCCTAATTCCGTCTATAAATATTAGAGAAGGGAATATCCAGAGATAAAGATAGGTACTTTACTTTACTTAACTTTATCAGACATATGCGGTTAACACAAATGTGACGTATTTCTAGTGCAGGAAACACATTGAGGGCCAAAGGGCCAAACATAGGCAAACAAGAAAAGAAAAACTTAAAATGAGAGGGGACAAAACCAGTCAGCTAAGGGAATCTTTCAACGGTGTTGAGCTTGGATCTGCTATCTACGTATATAATGAACAATATTACGGCTCCTGACTAAAGATCTGAGCACAAAACTAATTCTAAAATTTGGATCAAAAATACAACAATGGCTTGTATTGTCCGGGTATACCTACACAACAGAAGATTTTTCGTATCATTCAATGGTAAAAATAACAGATGGAAAACGCAGAAGAACGGTCTCCTTTGGGGTAGCGTAATGGTACCTACACTATATAATATTTACACAACCCATACCAGTAAATACTAGGACTTTTATTATGTAGACGATACATCTATATTGTTGCACAACCAAAAACTTTTGTTGCTGAAGTATAGAAAAATCTAAATCATACTTTAAACACAATAAAAATAGACTATGAATCAATTTTAAGCAAACCTCAGAAAAGTCAGATGTCCTGCTTTAATGTCCCTAACAGAGATGCTTTTAAAAATCTAAACATCCAATAGTGTCATGAAATTTTTAAACTCTGGACTTGCTATAAATACCTTGAAGATAGTTTGTATCACACTTTGTCATTCATAGAACATTGTTTAAAACTAAAAGGCAAACTGAGGACCAGAAAAATAATCTCTGCAAACTTGTCAACTAAAAATGAGAAGCATTCTTTCATCCTTAAAACGTAGACGCTTGCACTCTATGCTTCTGCTACCGAATATACCTTGCAAGTATGGATGACACCAACACATATTTAACACGTAGATTTAGCTATAAATTAGACAGCCAAATTCAGCAAATATTAAGACACACACACACACATCCATACATAAGCTCTACAATATCGTAGCTATCAATTCACCTAATATCCGAAGATAAGTAGCTAGACTGCTAGAGAATAAAAGATACAAAGTCTAGAATCGCAACATCCACTCAACGAAGTCCAGCTCAATTTATGACTAAAATCGAGAAAAAACTGACCAAAGATTATTGCAAATTTGACACTAACTCCACGTTTATTGATTACATATTACCCCTAAATAGCAGATAAAACATTTAGAAGTATGTAGTATTGGTGAACTGGTACATTCTTCTTATATAAATTAAGCATTCTTCCCTCTTTTGTGCACTACTACCAATTTTTACATAAAAATATCTATTTTTGCACTTAAATATTTATTTTAAGATAATCTATCCAGAATTATATGTAGTACAGAGATAAAACCAGAAATAAAATAATAAAGAAGCTGTATACAAGATATCGTAAAACAATGGATTAACTAAAAGTTCTTATTAATCGTATTCTTAAATAAAACGTATAAAGACATATTCATGTTAACAAAATACATTAGGAAATATTCGCATATGAAAAAACACGTCCAAGTTGGTAATGAAATCCTTTTGTATCTATAAAGCTATTTTTAGAATAGCAGGTACCTACCAAAAACAGGTATTTGGTATTATACATATCTATTACATATTGTCAATATGATCGCCAACATTCATAACGGATAGGCACATCAAGAAGAAGAAGAAGATTACATATTGTAATGCGTATGAAAAGGAGTCCGTATGAACCGTTTAAAATATATAAAAATATATATATATATCAAGAACGCTGGCCTAAGTGCATAGTTGCCAAACTATCAGAGCTTACTTAAACCGATGTACTTATAGTTCCAATATACAGTGAAAAAGATCTGAACGACCCCTATAATATATACACGTGAACTAAGCGAAATACATTTACGATACAGGGGTAAGTACTTATGAGCTCCAAATTTTTTTTTAAGAATTATGAAACTATACATCTTAACGAATCGACAGAGCCAATATTATGGAATGGACAAGTGAGCTCCGTATATCGGTGTCCACTTGACCACGGAGCTCACTTGAACCTGAAATTTTAACATGGGCGGAGTTCACTTTATGCCGTAGATATATATATATATATATATATATATATATAATATATATATATATATATATATATATATATATACAGATTGAACCAATTAAAACGGAACATACAATTTAATACATGTCTGTTTGAACTGCATTTAAAATAGTGGACCAATATAAAACTTGGACAAAAATAAATTAATACCTGGGTATAGACATTGTATAAAATATCGTTCAACTATCTGTCTCGCAACAAAGTTGTTTGCGTAAGACGGGTTTGTCTAAGGAGGCGATAATAGTTCAGGAATTGAATCTCGAAAAAAGTTAAAACCTCGCAATTTTTTCGTCCTGCATGTATCCAGTTGAAATTTTAGCAGAAGGTAGGTAATAGCCCAAGGATCAAAATCTATATCGAACCGAAGTGCGCTGAAGGGTTTTAGGGGTGAAAACTACCCCTAATTGTCAAAAATTATAAAATAACATATTAAACCTGAATATGGGTAAGATTTGGTTTGAATTAATTAAATGATTATTTTATACTTTTGAATAGAGTTCCATCATATTTCAACCCTTAAAAAGCAACCCTTGTTAGAGATTAATGTAAAAAAATTACTAATTCTAAAAAAATGATTTCGCCTTAGATCGATTTGGATAAAAATTTGGAATTAAGCTCAACTCACCCTCTGCTTTATAGTTTATGTCATGCCGATGAACCCTGATTGTTCTTAGGGGTGAAAACTACCCCTAATTTTCAAAAATTTTAAAATAATATTACAAATCCTAAGATGAGTGAAATTTGGTTTGGATTAGTTAAATAGTGAGTTTTTTATACTTTAAAATACAAATTCATACATTTTCAACCCTTAAAAATCAATTGTTATGAGTGCTATAGGTAAAAACAATTTTTTGCCAAAATTTTGCAACTTTTCAACTTTTGAAAATCACCGTTTACAACATTGCAGTTTTTATAAACTAATTTATAAGATATAAATTGAAAAAAGTCGAATTAAATACAAAAAAAATTATCAACATAAAAAGGCACCATATATTCTTATACATTTACATAAATAGTTGAAAATATTTACATTTATAGGTAAAACAATTATAATATTAATTTTATTCGTCATCAATTACATCTTCATCGTGATCTATGTCATCATCATCTTCCTCAATTATTGGTGGACTGTTATTGCACCCTTCACCTGAGCACCCAGAACAAGTAGAGTTACAGTATAAACCAACTTTTCTGCACCCATATGAAACGCCGCATCCTTTTTTGCATTGGAAAAAAATAATTTTCAAAAATTTATCGGATGCAGGTTGTTTGTTCATGCATACGGGTAATAACAAACCATCTTTGGAAAACCATCCCCAATCTGTTGCTCTGATATTTTCATTGCCAAGCCATAGACATATGAGCAGATGTTTTATTCTGTTGTATGGGATTTCAAAATAGGAACGCTTAAAATTTCGAATGTATAACGCCCCACTAGCTAATATACCGGTTTTGTAGATTATTATGCTCCGAAATGTACTGTACTATACTAATGGAATTTTCCGGAAAAAAATTAACTGGTTTTTTTAACGTATTTCCTTTAATTTTTAACGATAGATGTTTCTTCAAAAACGATTTGTAGAGGTTTTTAATAGCTACAAGGATCTGTGAATTAAATCTTTTTGGAACCCTTGGTTTTTAAATGGGGTGAGTTTAAAGGGGTCGAAAAAAGATGGTGCTTTATCGTAAATCGATGCTTTAAACGGCTATATCTCGCCAAATATTCATTTTACAACAAATCTAAATAAAGGATAATTTTAGTCATTAAAAAAGCTACAATTTGGTAATTTTTATTTCTTTCATATATTCAGTATTTTCGGGCATATTTAAAAAAAGAAGGGTAAAAAATATGAAATTGTAAATCGTTTCTCGCTTTAAGCTGTACTTTTTCTAAAACTAAGCATTTTAAATGGGTCAAACTTCTTGGACGTATTACCAATACATCTACAAAGGAAATTGCATAAGGATGAAGATCGATTTTAATTATGGGGGTGGTTAGGGTGTTGTTTTCCTCGATTTTTTTGTAAAAAATGAGGTATTGACC